TCTTGGCAGTACAGCTTTTTAAATTTTTTGGCATCATGCGCTCTACATTTGCATATCCTTTCTTTAAAGCATTTTCTTAATGAAACAATTTATTCCTCAATATGAAAGGGCTTTCAGATTGAAAATGTCTCTAGTTTCCAGTATAGAGTGCCCAGAATCTCCAATTTTTTTTCAGTTCCTTGCTTGAATTTAGATTTTTAAAAACTTATAATTCACTGAAGGTGGTTTTGAAAATGCGAGAGATGGGGAAGATAACAGACCTAAAGGGTAGCACAGGGAAGGAAAGCTGAACAAAGCTTAGGTAAGAAACATGGTATCTATTTTAAAGTCAAACCTCATAGATTCTTCCTGGAAGTCAAGATCAGAGAAGAGAAGTAGAAATGTGATGTTATCTGTGTGCTTTAAAAAGACCTGTGTTAAGCAGGATTTATGTACATGCATGCCTATATGCTTGCAATGAAATCATGTTTTAAAGAGGATTCAGCTGCATTATATTTATAACCATGAGGTTGCTACCAGCTACCAGCATATCTCCTTGTGGTGGTTCACTTCTCTTCATGTCCTGATTCTGTTCTACAGTATACAGCTTTAATAAAGCAGTCTGCTAGTCCACTCCCCCTGCATCCCCAAGACCCACAATTCTAGCTATGGCTTCCTTCGACTCTGCTCTGGTCCCAGGAGTCTATGTTCTGACATGTTTGTCCCTGGCAGCTGCAGAGAGTTTGAAGTATTAGGGATTCAGACCCTGCCATAGCTGTGAAAGCTAATCTCTACTGTGGGTCCTGTCCTTTCTGGCCAAAAGAAATGGATAACTGGAGCATCACCAGATCTGAATCTGAGGCTCATTTGCAAACATCAACTCAACAGCTCCCCAGGGAAACAATAAAAGTAATTAGGTACTACCTCAAACCATAGAGTGCTTCAGAAGCGACTGAGGAAGGAAGGCAGTTAAAATGCAGATTTTCAGGCCCCTCCCAGAGTTCCTGATCTTAGTTTTTAGAAAGTCAGGGAACCTGCATTTTAAGTAAACACTTTAATGTAATTCTGATGCTGAAAGTTCAAAAACCACCCTTGGAAGGACCCCAGGATTCTGACATCATACCCCTCTACCATCAACAATACAGTAAAATAATATCATTGTTCTGCCTGTTTTCTACTGCCATCCTTTAGGCTGTGTGTTTTGAACCATTAGGTGTGCCCTCAAAGCTTCTCTTAATCTTCCATCAGCTTGGTAGTAACCTGTGCATTTGGGAGGGGCATACACCACGATTTAAGCCAGTTTGGCACCTCCTTAGAGGTGGCTGGGAGTCCCCGACACTCAGGAAGATGAAGCCTAGACCAATTGTTCTTCTCCAGCTGGAAGTTATGCAGAGTGCTATACAGAAAACAAATGACCAGGTTGGTGGACAAGGCCCCTGTGTTCTATGACTCACTCTGGCACAAGCTTCTGCCCAAGTTTCCTGAAACCCTGTTGACATACACACAGGCATATACCTAGAGCACACATGCAAAGCTCACTTCTTTGGTGGGTGCTCACTTTGGTGGGTGCTCACTTTCTATGCAGGTTTTCTTTGCTCAGTCCATCTCTCCTTCCCAATTGTTCAACTCTTAAAAATTGTCCGAGTTTTGGATAAAATACCATTGCTCTGTGGGCTTAGATATTAAACACTATTCAAAATTTTGTTCATTATGTGCACCCGCCCATGCACCCACAGTCACATTCACATACAATAAATGGGAGAACATAATACAAAGACATCATCATATCAACTCTCTGATCTGGGTGCCCTTTTATGGTACAAGGGGCATATGCTTTGGAGTCCAAAGACTTCAGTTCAAATCCTACCTCTACCATTTACAAGCTACTTAATCTTAGAGAAGTTAATTAAATTCTTTGAACCTGGACTTCCTCATTAGAGTTAAATGAGAAAGCTTGTAAAACACCTAGGACTGTGCTTAGAACCTAAGAGGAAAAGTTAGGTATCTCCTTTATTCTTATTTTCTATTTCTATTTTATTTTTTTATGAAATAATCCTCCAAATTTCTCTCACATAGCATATTAGTCAGGGTTCTTAACTGCAAGTATCAGAAATCATCTCTGGCCAAAATACACAAAGAGGGAATTTATGAAAGATACTGGGTGCCAGGAAGGCTGAAGAGCCAGGTGCAGAAAATGGGCTGGAACCCAGAGAGATCTGCACAAGCAAGACCACAGCCAAAATCCCACCTCAGAGCAATCTGGTGGCCTGACCTCTGCCATAGCTGCCCCTAAACTCTGGGTACCCCTACCCCCTCAGGGGCAAAATCTGATTCTCTGCTGTCTCTGCTTCTTTTATCACTTGCTCCAGACTCAAAAAGCTCTGAGTGAGAGGTTCCTGGTCAGGCCTGTGGCCTGGGCCTGTATCCCAGCTGGGGTGGTTAGGGAGGTGGCTCTAGACTCTCTGGTTTCCACACTTGGAGTTTATCAAAAACAATGATATAGGCAGACTGAGTCTGAGGACCCAGAGGGGGTCCACGGACCAGCTATAATCCAAGAGGGTCGTTGGCTTTGTGCAGGATAGGATAGAAATCAAATGTGAGCTGAGAGGAAGTAAGAACAGAGTTTATTAAAGACAGAGAGTAGATACAGAGCACCTGAGGGACTCAGAAAGAAAAAGGAGAATGAATCTTTGCTTATGGCCTGGGGATTTTATTGTGGTCTGGTGTACATGTCCTCTCATGCATCCAGGAACCAGTCAAAACAAGGGTGAGTGCTTAAGTGTCCTCCAGAAGCTACTGATGCCCTAGAGCCAGGGGTTTTGGCATCAAGCTGTCTGTAGTTAGTGATCTACATGATGACCTTGCCCAGTCACTCCTTAGATATAATCTGTTGTGCTGGAAGACTCCAAAGAAATCATGAATTCCTTGAGCTGTACAAGGAGGACCTACATTATCTGTACCACGAGGTATGTGTAAGGTGTGGGGCTGCAGGCGCTAGCGAGAACAGAAGCAGGGAAAGGAGCAAAAATGCGGTCTTTCATGAGTCCTTTTAGTTTTTCTGTCACAATAAGAAGGCAATTCAAATGTCAGGTAGTCATAAAAGATCAGTGTCCAGAGTCTTTTCTCACCCTTTCTAATGTTCATATTGCATCTGTTTCATCTATAAATTCATTCTTAAGTGTGTAGAGTCTTTCTCTCCAGGAACTCTCCTCAAGCCTCAAACTACTCTGTTTCAGAGGCAATTTTACACCTTTCTGCCTTGTCTCCTTTCTTTTCTCTGTCCAAAATTCCCTATCCTGCCCCCTTTCCATCACCAGTCCCTGAACAGCCCAAATCTTGCCCACTCTGCAAATGCTGGAGGAGATGCCACCGTTTCTTTCTTGTGGTGCTGTGCCCCACTCCTTCCATGCTCCTTCCAATGTGTTCCTTTTTTTTTTTTAAGGTTTTATTTATTCATGAGAGTTACAGAGAGAGGCAGAGGGAGAAGCAGGCTCCCTGCAGGGAGCCCTATGTGGGACTCCATCCCAAGACCCAGGGATCAAGACCTGAGCCCAAGGCAGATGCTCAACCACTGAGCCACCCAAGGTGCTCCTTCCCACTGTGTTCTGAGGGCACTCTTGCTATGTCTCCCTTACCATCTTTGCTCCATTTTACAACAAATATGTGTTATGCGTTTAATGGCCTCACCTTCCTTCCTCTCCTGGATGCACGTTGAAGCTCTTGAACGGCTTGGAAGTCTGTTTTATTCATATTGCAGCGCTGGTCTTACGACCTAGTAGATGCTTAATACACACTTGTCAAGCAAAGCTCAAGTTTCTTCTCATGTGTCTCTCAACGCATACATTTAGACTCCTTTCCTACACACATGTGACAGATCCGTTTAATAAAAAATGGAAACAATCCATGTGAGTGCACCCTGCAAACTGTAAAGTGTTGAACAAACGCATTTGATCTTAGCCAAAGGCCGAGAAGTGATTAAGAGGTGGACCCATGTGAATGCCATGACTATTTCATTCTAGTTTCACCTATTTTCTGTTAAAGAGCTAGGTGCCGGCAGCCCCGGTGGCTCAGCGGTTTAGCGCTGCCTTTGGTCTGGGGCGTGATCCTGGAGACTCAGGATGGAGACCCACATCGGGCTCCCTGCATGGAGCCTGCTTCTCCCTCTGCCTGTGGTCTTTGCCTCTCACACTCTCTCTGTCTCTCATGAATAAATAAATAAAATCTTAAAAAAAAAAAAAAAGAGCTAGGCGCCCTTATTATGCTTCAGGGTGTTTTCACAGGAGAAGGTTGCAGCGCGGGTCTCTCTCCCACCCCTACCTTTCCCGATTTTGCAGAGCCTCTGGGGTCCCTTGCATTGCCAAGAAGGGAAGCCCACCGAGGCGCGGGGGGCGGCGCGGAAGCGGAGCCCCTTCGCCCGAGAGGACTTGCTGGGCGAAGTCCCGTGACAGCTCATGCCCAGTCCCCGCGCGTCGCCCCTCCTGCCTCCGTCCCTCTCCCGGCTCAGGTTGGCCAGAGCCACCTGCGTCCGCGGACTCCCCCTCCCAGAGCCTCCGCTCCGTCGGGTCTCGGGTTCCCTGGGAGACGCAGCGCCGACCGCCCCGCTCCCGCAGCCCGCCTCCCCCGCACCCCCTGCCCCCCGTGTACTTTGCCGCTCGGCGCGACCTCGGGGCCGGCACGTGACCCAGAAACTTGGGAAGCCCCGGGGCGGCGGGCGGCGGGCGGCGGGCGGCGGAGGCGGAGGCGGCCGAGCTCCCCCGCGCGGCGGGCTCTGCGGCCGGGAGGCGCTCGCCCCGCGCCGCGCTCGCTGCCTGGGCGTGCGGAGCGCCGTGCGGGAGCGGCCGGGAGCCGCGCCGAGCCAGCCCCGGAGGCCGCGGCAGCGCGCGCTCGGCAGGCGGCGCGGCGGGCCCGGCGGGCGGCGGCGCCCAGGGACGCCGGGGGCCCGCTGGCGCGCGCGGCCGCAGCCCCGCAGCCCCGCAGCCCCGCAGCCCGCCGCCGCCCCCCCCGCCGCCGCCGCCCCCGCCGCCGCCCCCGCCGCCTGGCCACCCCGAGCCTGGCGCTGCCGCCCTTCCGCACTTCGCTCACTCCTTCCTCTGAATGGGAAGTTGGGGAACATGGACGGGGTCGTGCTGGCGTGGACCGCGCTCTTCTGGCTGACAGGTAGGAGGCCTTTTCTACCAACGCCAGGAACTTTCTGTATATCCCCTTGGTGGGGGCTGTGCCCGCCCTGCCCGAGCCGCGTCCCCCCCGGCCGGGCTCGGAGCTGCTCCGCGGCTCGGCGGCAGGTGGGGGCAGGGGCTGGGCGCGCTAGGATGATGGAGGAGGCGGGGGAGAAGCTCGGCTACAAGTGAGACGGGTCGACACGCAGGTGTCTGACTCCTTGGGGGATTGTCCTTGCGCTCGTGCATTTCCTCTTCCACACAACGGTTCTTGTCGATATTATCCTGAGTTGGTAATGCTGTGTGGTTCCTGGGAAGAGCCTGGTTAGGAAAAAAAAAAAAAAGAAGAAGAAGAAGAAGAAAGAAAGGAAAAGAAAGCTCGGAGGAGACATTAATTGGGAGAACTGCTTTTCTGGAGGTGAGGGATGGAGGAGTGTCTGTCTCCCTGATTCCTTCCCAGGAGAAGCCGGGAGACCCCGCGGCGTCCGCCCTGTGCCTCGCGGTGCCGTAGGGCGGGATGAGGAAGGAGATGGGGATGCAGGCTTGATTGGCTGTGGAGTTTAGGGCCTGGCTCGCTCGCGCGTGGTGCCATTTGGGGGAGTGGTCCCATAGCCGAGAAGAACCTTCCTCCCCAGATAAACAGTCTCCCCTCCCCCAGCGAGGATAAATTGCAGAGATATCCAGAAGGTAGAGCTTCTCCCCAGCATTCAAGCCCCTTCCGCTAGCTGGGTCCTTAGTGTGCTTTCTCCTCCCCTTTGGTGAACTTTCTCCCCACCCGCCAGCCTGAGGTCTGGAAAGGCTCTTGCTCCTGGCCCGTTGTCTCACACGAGGGTCCTGCGCGGCTGAGGGACCCGTGGCCAGTCCTGAGAGATTCACAAAGTAACCCAGCTTGGGTGGGGGTGTGCATGGGTGAGGGAGGTTCGGGTAGTTTGGGAAGGGGTTGAGACAAAGATTCCAGGCAAGGTGGAATGGTTAAGAAAGGAACAAAGGGTCAGAAAGGTTGCGAGGATAGGATGAGGGCAGTGCAGGGCAGGAGAGAAATCAGAAAATAGCACCAAAAAAAAAAAAAAAAAAAAAAGTTCTGTTCCCTCCTGGGGCACCAATCAGAAAATTTGGAAAAATCCAGTCAGTAGGAAAAGGGGAACAAGTTTAAAATCTCTAAGGCAGTCATTGAAAGCAGATAAAATGTATTTAAGAAGAAAAGCAAAAACTCCATTTCCCATAGCTTCAAAGAAGATTATTGATTGCCTCACATTTTTTCCCCTCTCTTATTCCAAATGAGGGCCCTCAACACTCAGTCTGCCCCATACTGGCTTTAGGTATAGGGGATGGGGGTGGGCAGGGCATGTCAGCAGAGTTAGCCTCTTCTCTTGGCTGCTCTGAGTTCATCCCTCCCACATTATTCAAATATGAATCATCTCTAATTTCAGGGTTTGGCTGATCCATGTCTCCCCACTCCCCTGGCCTCCTAGGGCCTTCTACTTCCACCCTCACTGATTCTGAATGTCCTTAATTTGCCTCTACTTCTGCGCTATCACACTAGAAGGCAACTAGGCCTGAAGCCCGAATCACCCCTCCCTGAGGCCAATGAGGCATCCTGGGGCAAGAGTAATAAGTCAGAGATGCTCTTCTAGATACCCCAAGGTATGCCCAAGAAAAGCACAGGGAGTGGGGGCAGAAGGGGAACATAGAACTCTTGTGGCTAGCAGCTTTTTATGAAATGGAATCATATCATTTGAAGGGGCCACAGGCCATCTAGTCCAGTCCCTTAGTTGATAAAAATGGAGGCCCACAGAGGTGATTGGCACCCAGCAAATGTGTGATGGAGCCGGGACTAGAACCTAGTTCTTCAAACCCCAGGCCAATCCCATTTGCGTTCTCCTGAGCTACCTCACTGGGCTTTTTTTTTGTTGTAGGGTGTTCTGTTCTGTGTGTATTTTGAGGGGAGTTGCTGCTTTGTCCGTGCCTCCTTTGCTCTGTACCTGGAGAGGCCACCCCCTGCCTAGTGGCAGGCAACAGGTTAGTTATTAGGGCCTCCTCAGCTGTCAGAGGCTGGGCTTCTGTGCTCTGCACAGGAGGTTGGCTTTCTGAGATCCCACTGAGCACTGCAGGCATCCCCAGATCCCAGCCTCTGCTTCCCCCCCACCCCATCCCGGCAGGCAGGCTGCTGGACACGCTGCCTCAGCCTCAGCAAAGTAGAGGAGCTGACAATGGCGGCTGAGGGGTGTGTGTGTGTGGGGGGGGGAGGAGCAGTCAAGGAGGAGATGGATTCAGACTCATGGCTCCCAGAAAAACCCTGAGAGGAAAGGTAAGAAATTTCAGTCCAGCCCGATCAATGAATTCTCTCCTGAGGGGGTGGTACAAAGAGAAGGAGAGAGGGAAGGACAGATCAAAAATGAGTCAGAGAGCCTGGGGAAAAACACATTCATTCTCCTTCTCCCTCCCTTTGTCCTCCCCCACTCTCTCGCCTCCCTCCTCCCCTCCCCTGTTTCTCTCTTCTAATGCCGGCTGAGCAATTTCTAATCAACACTTTAGGTTTTTTCCTCAGTCTCAGGCAGCTCCTTCCTTGTCTTTCATTGCTAAAATTCTGCTGTATATTTAGTCTCATGATTTCTCATTGTCACTGTGATGCTGCTTCCTGTAATAAATTGTTGCTGTTGTTGTTTTGAACAAACATAGTGTTTCTCAGCTGCTATTTTAGCAACAGGTGCCATCCAGCAGTAGGACCTGAAGGAGGCTTCACCAGGTCTTTGTTCCTGAAGGCGGATGGCATTCCCTCTGTTCCTGGCAGCAGAGGCTGCCAGAGGCTCTCTCCCAGGGAGGGAGCTGGCGACGTGCTTTCCCTGAGACTTTTGGGTCTCTGTGGTGAAGATTGCTATGCTCTGTTAGCATTTCTTTCTTTTTTTTTTTTTTTTTATTTATGATAGGCACACACACACAGAGAGAGAGAGGGAGGCAGAGACACAGGCAGAGGGAGAAGCAGGCTCCATGCACGGGAGCCTGACGTGGGATTCGATCCGGGGTCTCCAGGATCGCGCCCTGGGCCAAAGGCAGGCGCCAAACCGCTGCGCCACCCAGGGATCCTCTGTTAGCATTTCTTTTGGTCGCCTTTTGGTTGTATTCACTCACTTATCCATCCATTCTACAGGCACACACTAAATCCCTCTGCTTTCTAAGTATTGTGATGGGTGCTGAGGATAAAGAGAGAGGAAAGACACAGCCGTTCCCCTCAGAGTTGTCAGTTTAGTCGTGACTCAAGCGACTTTTCTGGTGATTGTGGTTTGGAAGCAGAAGGTCCTCTGATGAGAGCTGTGAGCACCACACAGAGGCTAGGAGAGCACCCAAGCCACCCTGACGTGGAGGCGGAGCAGTCTTAAAGGAGCTCCTAGGAGACGTGTTCATGCCTCTTCAGCTGCTGAGTTACTAACCACATCCAGCGTGGTGCTGGGGTTATGGAGATGAATGAGACACAGCCCTGCCTTCCAGCACTCGCAGTCTGGTGGCAGGACACCATTATGGAGTAGCCTATCCCCAGGCAGTAGCAGAGGTCTGCACCCAGTGCTTTGGGGTGCTCCATGGGGGCTGGGTCCCAGCCCAGCCTGTAGGGAGAAGGAGGTATCTAGGGGAGGTTGTTGCCTGGGCTGGCTTGCATTCCAGTAGATGCCTGGTGACTGTGTGCGGAGAGTTAAAGCACTATTAGCCCTGGAGAAGGAAGAGTGGCTTTCAGAGGTTGCTGACACCTCAACTTCCACTGTCTCCTTCTCTGTCCTGCTTACCTTTCAATTTCTCTCCCTCTACTGTTCTTCTTTCCCCTGCAGAAGAGACCTTGCCCTTACCAGAGCATCTTCTTTCAACACTTTGTCACAGCTCTCCCAACTCCCCTCCGGCCCCCAGCCAGGTGCTTTTTTCTGGACTTGTTTCAGAGACTCACATGATTCTGCTGGTTGGCTAGTTTCTACAGACTTGGAATTAGTAGTAGCAGCAATCTTAATGCAAGTACTTAGTACTCAGTACAGTGTTTGCAGTTTCAGTGCCAGGACTTCGTTGGTGGAAGGAATCCTGACCTGGGAGTTAAGGATTGGGTTCTAGTCCTACCTGCTCCATAGATTGACTATGTAACCATGAGATCTGGGTCTCATAATCTCTTGAATGAGATGACTTCTAAGGTCGCTTTCAGCTCAAAGATTCTATGGTTTAAATCTTTTTTCCATTTAATTTTAATGAGTTGGAAGTCACAACTAAAGCGTGACAGGTCCAGTCTTCCTTTTATAATTCACCTAGTGAAAAGCCCCAGTTTCTTCAGCCTTTCCCTGATTAATAATGATTGGAATGAAAAACACTAGCTGGGGAGGGAAAGCTCTTGTTAGGATTGTCAGAAGGATAGATGGAATAGCATTTGGTGCTTGGTAGATAGGAGAGGGTCCACTCATATTGGGGACTGGTAAAGCAAGGCAAGCACTTTGGACTAGGTGGGATGAATCCTACTCTAGCCAACACAGTCCCTTCTGGTGTGAACTTTTTGTTCCAGGACCTACTTACCTCTTCACTCTTTCTGACATTTTAGCACTTATGTCTCCTTTTCTGCCATCAAGAATATAAAGAAAGGTGTGATGTGGTTGTTGTTCTTGCTTATTTACATGCTATGATGCTTTTCTTTGTGTTAAAGGGCCTTCCTATACATTACGCCTTTTGATCATTTAAAGCAAGAATGGTTGATATTACCTACCCTTGTATAAGACGACAAAAGCTTAGAGAGAATAAATGACTTGTCCACGTCCATGGTATCTTATTGTTTAAAAGAATAAGAAATAGTGTCACTGACTTAATATGACTTGGTTGGGTCAAGTGCCTGAGTCCAGGGGAAACTTCTTTTCTGCCTGAATCCAAGGGTCAAAGTAGAACTCTTGATTTAAGTGAACATACATAGTGTCTTTTATGGGGCACTGGGTAGTGAGGCTTAGAAGTCATAAAGCTCAGGGAAATATTGCAGGGAAAAGTGAGAAAGAATAGCATTTTGTTTTTCCAATAACTCTAAGATCTAATGGGAAGGAGTAAATGAGAAGTGCTCCAGTGAGCACAGGAGAGGGTATCAGAGCCCATTTGGGACTAGGGGTTGGCGCTATGCACTCAGGAGCCACACAGGATGTAGCTGTGGCATATGTATGCTTAAAATTTTGGTTTTCAAGATAGTCTTTGGCTCTCTGAAAAAGAAAGAAGGCATCTTGGATGACTAGTGTTCTTTACGGGCCAAGAACAAATAAGAACTCCGAAGAGCATGCTGCTTCCCCTGTTTCCCTGCAGCACCTGCGGTCCTGCATTAGGAGTAGAACCCTTGCATTTGGTCCCGGGATCCTGCATCATCACTCCTCCTGTGCCCTCTGCTCATCAGGAGGCAGACTCAGAGGCAGTGCAGGAAGAGGGATTAGATTCAAACTGACCTGGATTTGAAAACTAGCTTAATATTTTACTGTATCTTCTTTGGTTTTAAAATGGGAAATGAATTTACCTTATAGGTTGTTGTGATAATTAAAATGGAATTATATAAAACTCGTAGCACAATATTTGGTACACAGTAGGCCCTCAATACTGATTATGAACCCCAAATAGGTATGTTAGCCAGCATTTTGATGCCGCAATGAGCAACCTCCAAATCTCAATAGCTCACTTGAGCAAACATTTAGTTCTTGCTCATATTACATGGGAGCCAAAGTCAGCTGCAAGTTAGCTGTGACTTGGCTAGAATTGGTATACTTGGCTCAGTTCCAAATGTTTTCTTATTCTGAGACCCAGGATGAGGGATCAGTCACTGTTTGGGCATACTTTTGTTATGGCAGAGGGCTCAAGAAGGTAGGGAGAGCGCTTAGGGTGCCAGAGCCAAAGCATGTACAGACCTTTTAAACTTTTGCTTGGACATGTCTTATGGCATGCGTGTCATGCAGAAAAGCCCAGGGTTTTTGGAGTGGTGAGTGTCCTCTGCCTACAGGGAACAATGCAAGAGTCCAGAGGGAAAACTAATTGGGAACAAATAATAAGCTCTATTAACTGGGTTAAATCATTCAACAAATATGTTAAGTACCTTCTATGTAGCAGAGTCTTTAAAAGGCTACAGGGGAGTTTGTTGTTAATGGCAGAGACAGATAGCTAGGTAGGAAGTTCTTAGGCAATTCAATGTCATCCTCTGGGGTGCTGGAACTACAGTAAGAGCAAAAAGAAACTTCTAGAGGAAGTGACAGCTGAGCAAGTTTGGAGAGATTAGTAGGAATTACTAGGAGAAAAGTGGGATGGGAGAAGGAGAATTTATAGAGGGAACAGCATGTGCAAAAGCCAAGAATCAGGGAGGATGTGATTTGTGAAAATTACAAATGTTTTAGTATGATTGGGGAATTTACTGCGGCAGGAGGAATGAAAGAGAGTGGCCCTCTCTGAAAGGGGCCAGTTGTGCTCCCGAAATGGCGAGGAGTCTTTAAAAGGGTCAGGACAAAGGAATGCCCCGAGCAGATGTGCATTTTAGAAATGTCATTGGGACCACAATGTGGAGAATAGGTTAGATGTGGGCAAACTTGCAGCAGAAACCACCCAGGAGACCCTTGTGGAAAGAGAGACAAAGCATGCTGAGAGCCTGAAGTCACAGGGTGCAGTGGGGATGGGAGAGGTGGACAGAGTGACTGGAGGTGGAGGAGTGGCATGGTTGGATGTGAAGGTTGAAGGAGTGGGTATGTCAAAGATACTTTCAGTTTTGTGGCTTGGGATTGCTGGGGATGCCATTTGTGAGCATGAACTATCTAAGTTGCTATAATAGACTGAAATGCAGTAATGCACAGAAAATAATTTCTTTCTCTCTCCTATAACAATCTGGACCTAGTGAGGGGTGAGTCTCCCATTCCCAGCGTGTGGCTGCCAAGACCGCTCCAGTGACAAACATTCTCAGCAGTTGGACCAAGGAAGGCAGAGAGCCAGGGCATGCAGCTTGTGCTGCAGCTTTAGAAAGGGGACCTAGAAGTTGCACATATCACTTCTCA